ATTTTATAAAGATAATAATTAAGTATTCTGTTAGAATTTAATGACTATACTAATTATATTTTAGATTGTTTATATTCAAAATGAGATGTTTATCCTGTATTTGAATGTGTTTATATGCAGTTAGTTACACGAATTTAGATATGGAATGAAATCGAATAGGGATGAAATCGTTTAGGGATGAACGGGTTTAAGAGTTTTAAGAGTTTTTAAGAGTTTTAAAAGTTTTAAAGAGTTTTAGCCAAATGTTTTATAAGATAGTATAGATATGGATTATTTAAACCGAACGTATTTTTTTTCCAATTGATGGCATTATTTGATTATAAGAAAAAAAAATATATGAATTTTTTTTTCAAACGATGACACCGTTTGACTATAAAAAACGAATATACGAATTTTTTTTTCCTTCAAACAGTGGCACCATTTGACTAAGAAAATGACATTAACAGGATTCAAACTTAAGTCTGAGGTGGAATAAAAGCCTTGAAAACCAATTCCATTAAATAAAACTTGTTCTCATTATAGTTTCAAAATACATACAGTGACACACAACAAATTAATATGGCTGCACCTTTCACAAGCCTAAATTCTTTTACACTTCAACGAAAAAATAATACGGTGACACGTACCACCTTAACCACTATACTAGATTCGTCCCTAATTTAATCACTATCGTATTAAAGCTTACAAAATGTTTTTCACCAAAGGTTTTCACAAATTTTCAAGAAAATTACGATTTTAGTCCCTATAATTTAATTTTCTCACGGTTTTCATCCCTATAGTTTTCATATTTTTTTGTATTAACTATATTGGATGTTTGCAAAATAATTATAATTATAATAAACCAAATAGTTTTCTTGAAGTTATTGAGAAATAAATTATATATTCTTTTTTCAAAGTTTTATACTGAAATCTTTTAAAATAAATAGTTTTATTTATTTATTATTTTATTTTAAATTATTATCTGAAGAAGTTTAATATGATTCAAGAAAAAAAATTAGCTTTGACTCTTACTATTCCATATACTATCATTTAAACTTTATTTTTTATTAATTAATTAAACTTGTTTAATATTTAAATTAAAAACATATATGTGTGTGTGTCTGTCTGGCTGTGTATAAGGAAATGTTCATTTGAAAAATGATAAGTACTTAAGAAGTAAATAAATGATCTTAAACCTTTATCTAATCGACATTTGCAACTTTAACTGTGAAACATCGGATAATTCCTCGTATGGTATGCGAAAGATATAGATGTAGAGAAATAGTTGTTGAAAATTTATGAATGTAAGATAGATAAAAACCAATAAAGTTTTAACTTTTTAATCCAAAAGATTATAAAAATTAAACTTTTATGAATAAAGATGGTAACTTTTTGTATTCCGGAATCCACAAACACCTCAAACGAACACTAACAACTTTAGTAACTCGTCTATATACCTTCATGGTCCATTGTCTTTTTTCAATGACCGTTTGTATTAGATTATTAATGAATGGATGTATTATACAAAAATTATTTGAACATTTGTATATATATATATATATATATATATATATATATATATATATA